ACGCCATAAACTCTGATTTTAGTCACAGCAGGACAGAAACATGTTTAAACACGTCCCATGTTAACAGAAACAGGAGCTCTTTGACTTTGATGGTGCGACGGGTCGATGTTGGGATGCGTCTGACCTTAGATCAGTTTTACCTCGCCCCACTTACACGAGCAGCTCAGACATTTGATTTGTTTTCTGAGTTTCTGTTTTGAATAATCGGCTCCGGCGTACTTACTGTTCCTGTTGGTCTTCAGTTTGGACAGCAGCTTCTGGGTGGACAGCAGGTCTCCACTCTTCACCGCCTGCAGGAGGTCCTGCTCCTTCCCCATGCTCCCTCCTCCTCCTCCTTAAAATCCAACCAGCTTCACAGTAAATCCCGCTGCCTCCTCAGGGCCTCATGCTGAGCACCGGAGACGTGCACCTGCCTCAGGTGAGACCTCCACTTCCTCCCTGTGACGCTCAGCTGACAGCCAGGAAGCAAAGTGAAGAAAAAAACTCCTCGGTGAGGTTTCCTCTGAGCACCAGGAGAGATAAAAGGAGAGAAAGATCTCTGCAGCTTAGTTTCCCGCTCTCTTTATTTCAGGCAGTTGTTATTTCCAGGGTTGGCGGGGGGGTGGGGGCTGTGTGGAAGCCTGAAACGAGAAAAACGGATCAGTTCATGCCTCAGAGGCGCCGCACAGGAAGCAGTGTGAAAACTCTGACAGCTGCACGACCGATCGATCTGAGCTCAGGCTACAGCGCTGCAGCTCTCAGGCCAAACACAGCACAGGTGCGCTCACGAGGGCGCCAGCATCAGGAGCGAGATGCTGGGAAGACCTGGTGACATCACCACACACTGCAGCGCTGCACCACTAACATGTGAACACACCTATCACTTTTACTGTGAACACACATTACACTGTTTATTAAGTGCACGAGGAAAACTTTGTCCCCGCTGTCCTTGATGTCCCCCCGTTGATTGGTCAGACTGAGGGACAGTGCAGTCCATCATTATTGAGCTCGGACCCGGGGACGATGCTGGGGGTTACGGCTGTTTCACTGGTTTTTGTTGGTGGGCGGTCCCTGCGGTGCTCCTGAGCCTGTGCAGTGATTTGCTTTAACGCTGCTGCGGCCTCAGGGCATGAACACCATCAACACTACCCTGGCTGCGCGCGCACGTTCCTCCTCACATCATAAAGCGCACATGATGGAATCACTCACACTTTTGCAAAGAAACAGACCTCAGCCACTCCTGCAAACATCTGTTGTGAAACCAGAGCACGAGGACAACCTGCTTCTTCTTCTTCGCCACATCCAATCAGCTCCTCGTATCGCAGCATCCTCTCCTCTGAGGTCCTCCTTTTCCCTCCTCTGCACACGCTCAGACCGTCTCAGCCTCCCTGACTCTGAGCTGCCCGCCTCATTTATGACCCTGTCCCTGCTGTCCAACATCTTCAGCTCGGCCTCCTCCGTCTCCAAACCATCTTTAAACCTTCTTTCCCCTCTTGCTCCTCCCCTTCTGTCCCTCCTCTCCACCTGCCTGCACCCTCCTCCGATGGCTGACCCCTGGTGTTTGAGCTCACCCAGGACCTCTGCTCCCTCCGTGTTCACCTTTCACCTGTCTCTCCCTCTCATTCGCACACATGTATTCTGTCATATGTCAGAAATAAACATTTCCTGAATCTTTTGCATCTGCAGCGCCGTGTCGTACAGCGGGACTTACCTGTCCAGGTAAGCTGCGAGCTCGGGCTGAGTGAGAGTTTAACCTGCTGCCACATGAGAGCTCGGTTTAATTACAGCTCAGCAAACACACACACACACACACACACTCGTCGGCTGCCTCTGCTGTGTAAACACACCAAACTCATTTTTCACAAAGTCACCTGACTGCGAGTGTGTGACGAGTGGGCCGGCTCGCTGCTCCCCTCTGGGCACTCACTGTGGACGTGACTTCATCTGAGCTCTACTTAAACTCTTCCAGGCCAGTGGCCTCGCAGCCTCAGACACACGGGTGGAGGAGGAGGAGGAGGCAGGCAGAGCGGGTCGGTCCCGGCTCTGCCTGAAACACCAGCCTGGCCTCACAACTCTGTTGCCACATAAACAGAAAGAGTGTTTTGGGGAGTGTTTGCAGCCAGTCCCGACACAGCACTGAGCTCCCTGCTCCCCTCTTACATAACCAGGCTGCCACAGAGGAGCACAGGGCCTAAGCAGAGCTGTCATTCCCATTTACACCCATCACGTCCCCCCTTTCTTCCACCTCCCTCGGGCGTTTGCTATCCTCGCTGCACTCATGACAAGAGCAACAACGCACATAAATTTCTCTGAGACACTGCGGGGACTCCACGGTGGAGCTAAATAAATCATTTTATCACCGCAAACACGAATCACTTGACAGTTATTAGTCTGAAGTGAAGCTGCGCTGCTGCAGGATCGACTGCTCGGAGCATTTAACACGCAGACTCCATTTAAAAGTGCTCTTTCTATAAAAGCATCATCATAAAGTACGCGGAACATATTCATGAGACGTCCCCTGATGCCCTTCGAGGTGCTGTTCAACTCAGACACGAACATATTATCAACACTGCTCTGTAAGGTTTCACAAACTCACGATTTAGTAATAAAGCGAGCCCTGTTGTCCACATCTATCACCGACTTTGGAGCATTAAAGAGATCCCTGCTGATGTAAACACGAGCCGAACCGGAGACCAGTGTCCACACATTAGAAAGTTTGTATTAATATAACATGAACTCGTGTAAATGTCCACAGCGTGACGGGGACTCGACGTGTGGCGAGGAGCTGGCATGTAAACACACCGCCGACCTTTGTACCCGACTTACCTAACGGGTCACTTTTACCGCATTTACAGCTTTAAAAGAAACATCGTTTCACGATAAGTGGACTCGAGACTTACCGCCTCTTCAGTAAACACGCAGAAACTTTTTAATCCCCGACATTTAACGGACACGGCGTCGGTGTTCAGGAAGATTCCAAAGTAGCGTTTATCCGCGCATTAGTATTCCAGGAAAATCCCGTTTCCACGCGTTTTTATAAACTTCCAAGAGCGTCAGATGAAAGTTTCACCCCCACGCAGGAAACCCCCCCACAAGACTTTCATCCAGATTTCGGACTTTGGTACTTCACACGGCCCTCCGGCTGCCGTCGCTCATCTTGTCTTCCCTCCTCTCCCTGAATGCCACATTCTCTCCGCTGGATTCTCCCGAATCTCTCGACGGTGTCAAGTTTCCGTAAACGCAGCGCCAAACTTCCGCACAAGATTTTCAAAATAAACCTGAAAATGGTTTTAAATTGTTAAATTATAATTTTAGGGGTTTTTTTTTTAGCTTTTTTTTTACATTTTGAATTATTGATGAGGTTTTGTGTATTTTCAGGTAGTTCAGGTAAAAAATTTTTTTACCTATCTAAGACCTTTTTTATATTTATTTCTAGTTTTAGCTGCTTTGAGGTGGTAATTTCCCAATTTTGGGTATTATTATTATTATTATTATTATTATTATTAGTAGTAGTAGTAGTAGTAGTAGTAGAATCATTATTAGTATTATTATACATTTTTAAATAGTTTTACTAGTACTACTTTATTTATTGTTATGCAGAGCAAGAGTGATAATAGAAATCTGTAAGACTCATATTCTATTTTATTTCTCAGAGCTGTTCCACTTCATTTAAGCTATTTAACCTGTTTCGGCAGCTGATTCACGAGTTCACTCAGTCAAAGCCTGTATGGAATTTTGTGTATTTTCGGGTTCAGACTAAAAATTATTGAGTAATTAAATGTAGGCCTGTATTTGTCACAATCCCAACATTTCCCAACAGAAACGTTTATAACAGGACAAATTTTAATTTCAATGATCTGATTAAACTGCTGCCAGAACTGTCTTTCCAAGCCAAATGTTCAGCTTCCATCTGATTCTTTGTGTTATTTCATAGGTATTCAGAGTTCAGACAAAAACAATCAATCTGAATACGTTCAAGAAAGTTATGTGAGGGATTATTCTGTTTTTTATGCTTTCCCATTAAAGATTAGCTAATGATAAAATTCTCAGCAGGTACATTTTTAAGGTCAAGGTCAAGGTCAAGGTCAAATTTATTTATTTAGCACATTTCCAACAGTCTATGCTGCACAAAGTGCTTAACAATAACAAATATTCCTTTAATATTCCTTATTGCAGCTGTAATATTAGACTTGGCTGCAGATTCATTATTGTGTTCAAAGTCCTGGACAAACACAGATTGACCCACACAAAAGAAAAATATTACATATAAAGCTTGACTCTTTTATTTTGAAAACCAAAGTCATCTTTTTCCTGTTGGGTTCTGCCTCTGCTTCGGTACACTGAGGAAAACTTGAGACCCTCCTAGCGTTACTCCTCACTTCACAGAAACAGTGAAGGCCGTGTTTTGTGTTTGATCGTGTTATGAACTTCATCATCACTCTGTTACACAGTCCAGCATCTATTCTTCACTTTCATCTTTCCTTCACCTGCTCCACGTTTATATCTGACACTGAAAATAGGAGGAGCTAAACAAGGCTGAAAATATTTATATAACTAATTAGAAAAAAAGTAAAATAGAAAAATGAAGCACCAAAAGCTGCAGTTCCTCTGACGCCCAGCAGAGGCAGCAGTGAGTCAGTTCTCATAGACTCCCATGTCAAAAGTTTACAGCAGAAACAAACACGTTATCCTCTGTAGATAATTAAAAATGATGACGTATTTATAACTCACCTGTTTAAATTGTATCAAAGTTTGTGTTTTTAGGGGCGTGGCCTCTATGACTGGCAGGTGGATGGCGGCACAGGCGGATGTAGCTGCCAGCTGTTTGCTAGCTTTACCTGAACTGGACCACTGGACCAGGAGTAGCAGCCTTTTGGAGCAACTTTAATGATCTGACCAATAATATGGCTCTTTGAGGTTACTATAGTAATGCATAGTACAGTATGGCAGAAACCAACGTTCGCCTTCTTTATAGTTTTCCTCTGTGTGACAGAAATATTCTGTGTCTGCAGGAACCTGCAGTTCAGATGATTTCTGTAATCTCATAAAGGCATCAGCGTTTTTGTAAAGAGGAAAGATAAGATAAAGTTTTCTTAGTCCCATATGTGGGAAATTATTTTGTCGCAGCAGAAAATGGACAGTACAAGTTAAGTGCATCAAAAATTAAGACAAAAGCAATGGAATAGGATCCGATAAAACAGAATAAAATAGGACAGGTGAGACGAGATGAGAAATCATGGAACTCAGAACCTCCTTCATTTTTCATAATTTTCTTCTCTAAATATATTCTGGGGCAAAACACAGAAAAACCTGAAGGTGAAAGTTTTTGTTTCTCTTTAGGAAACACTAAAGCATAAAACAGTGAGAAGGTTTTAGGTCCCCACAAAAACCAGACCAGGAGCAGAGCCACTTCTGCACCTCCCTCAGCTGTCTGCGCTCCTCTGGTACAGCATGATGATCCTCTGACGATAGCTCCTCCCACAGCTGGCCCTCCATCGGCGGGTCGTGGTTGGCGTAGAAGTTCAGAGGCCTCCAGACAGAGTCGTAGTAATGATCGGAGAATGAGGCATAGTTCCTTCCTTGTGAGGAAACCGAAGGCAGAAACCTGCAGGACAAACAGGAAGTCCCCCAGGTTTCAGTCTTTGACACCTGATGTGGGTTTGAACTTTTTAAAATAAGGTGCAGCATTCTTGAGGACGAGGAGGTAATGATCCCTAAACCCACTGAAACGATTTATGGACGTTTATTGAACATCAACGTGAAAGATGATTACATCATCAGAGAGTGGAAGTCCCACATCAGCATCAGAGCACCGGTGCTCAGCATGTACGTCTCACGAACCCTGACATCAGCCAGCCGAGGCGACGACAGGAAACTGAGAAAGAAGCGGAGATGTTATTTTAACCCGAGCGTCCCACCGGCCCGATTTCAGATGATTGATAATTCATCACAGGTGGTGCTTTACTTGTGTGTCACGTAGGAGATGAAGCCTGGGTGGAGGAACCTGAAGTTTTCAGCTGCTTGGTGGCCAAAATGCTCCCAGGGTCTGCAGGAAACAGCAGATCTGGTTTAGTGACAGCAGCACAACAAAAACTCAGTGAGAGCATCAGCTCTGCTCAGCACGGCCAGCATGAGCCAACGTCGCCACCTGCAGGTGACACACCGTCATGACAACTCCTTCACAGGAATGACATCAGGAACATGTCTGATCACATCGTCACATCATCAGTGTGTCGCTGAGCCATGTGAACGCAAAGAGATGAAACTTTATTTTGAAGAGCCGAGCACAAGCACGACTGAAAAAAGTAATAAAATGACTGTTTCTGTTCCTCTGTCTGTAATCTGGACCGAAAACACCTGAAGCTTCAGGGACCTGCAGAAGGACCCAGACCGGTCTTGTTGGTATACATGCATCAGTCTAATAAACTTAAACCTACACCATCCTCCCTGTTCTGCTATTCTAAACAGTACCTGGAAGCAGACTGTTGGTCGAGTTAACCTCCTGAACTATCTACAACACACGGTGAAAACCTGAAATTAAGACAGAGAAGAGGTGAGACATGATCATTACTTATTACTGATGACAGATTTAGATATATTTGCATAAACCATTCATTTGCCACATCAAAAATATTTTTTCTGACATGGCAACCTTTAAAAAGTGAAAGGAGACAGAAAGACAGGTGAGAAAGAATAAAACTTAACTGACTTTTTGATGGCATTTTACACACAGCTGGTGCAGAATCTAGAAAGTGTGGGAAATACTGGCATCATATACAGTACTTACTGAAGAAATTATGATGGGACCCTAAAAAAATTACTATGTACAATAATGGATTTCTATGCATTGATGAAAATGTTTGTTGTACGATTCAGATAATTATTTATTAAAAGCGAGACATTTTAAATGAGAATAAGAAAGAAAAGTATTTCTTTGTGCCCCCCTCTCCCTGTTAATGCCCTACATGCCCCCCTGGCAACACTTTGCTAGACCCGCCCCTGCACAGTTACCAGCTGTCAGCTACACAAAAAAGGATCCTGGTGTTATTTGTCTCTCAGAAACAGTTCATAACTTCCCTTCAACTCATCCATGTCACCTGAAAGGTAAACCTGTTTCTCCATCACAGCTCTGATGGTTCAGTAAGGACATCTCCTGGTTTCATCTTCATGTTTCCCTCTCACCACATATCCAAACCGACATCATGACCAGCAGCTTTACAGCTGTGGCTCCAGCAAACATCAGCTGATACTAGAAATTAATATTAAATACATTCTAACAACAGCTGATCAAGCTTAAACGTGCTGCTGTTGTTTAGCGCGACATCCGCTGGTTTCCTCTTTCTGGCGCAAAGTGAGCGATAAACAAACAAGAGAGACGATCAGCTGATCATTGATCAGTTTCATGATTGAAGTACAAACAGGAGAGGGAGGGGGAGAGAATGAAAGAAGAAGAGGCAGCTGCACAGCAAAGACACAGAATAAATTCAGCTTTGTGTCTTTTCCATTGTAGCTGAATTACGGGACAAACTGTTCCTTTACAGCTCAACGTGACACGGGTAATATTTTCTCTGAATGCAGACGATTCAGTTTTTTACAGGACGGTTGGAAACTCTAATAATTAACCTTATGAATAAAATAAGATAAATAAAGTTCACTATCAGTAACATCACAGCACCCGCCCAGCTGTATATAAACTCCGTCATGCTAGCTAGTAGCAGTACGAGTTATTGTAACTGACTGTAAAAAGTCAGCACAACAAAAATAAACTAAACCTGGTTTATATCCGACCAGATAGACTGCAGCTCATAACTTCTTACCTGAAGTTCAGTTCACCGCCTCGGGTCTCTGCTCCTCCTGCCTTTCCCTCATCCACCTGCCAGCGTGTTGCATCTGCTGCCTCCACCACTTGCTAATGTTACTGAATCTGTGGAAGCTCCGCCATAGCCACCACCAAACAACTGAGTTATTTTACACACCTCCCTTCATCTGGCCAATCCTCCACCTTCCACTGTTTACACCGTTACGGAAAAAACGGAAAAAAAACCCCCATCGGCCCATAAAAACGAAAAATCACCATTGGCCCACCAGGCCAGTCCAGCTATGCTCATATTTCGTATTTTAAATAGGTAACGGCGGTACATGTACTCCGTTACTCCCCAACACTGTAAGAGACTTTAGAGGAGAGCCTTTGTTTGGTGAAGTCACTCACGT